CTAGAGCTAGATTCTTCAAAACATATTTACAAGCTAGTTCAATGCGGCACCATATTACAGGAAGTTCACAACATTCTGCCAAAATGGATCAAATGGGAGAACTTTTCATTGCTCCAATTATTATTCCCAATGCTTGAAACTGAATTGTGTCTAATTTATTTAAATTTTTTTCGGTACTTTGAAAAATAAAATGGATCCAAAATCTAGATGTGATCTTACGAGTGTTTTATAAATCATTGCTAGAATTTTTGGGTTTGCTCCCCATCCAACTCTAGAGATGGCTCTCATAACATCTTATCCCCTTTGTGCTTTCCCTATCACGAAATCAATGTGATTAGTAAATTTTAATTTAGAATCAAGAGTGATTCCTAAATATTTAACAACATTACATTTAGGAATAACTTGTAGATCATACAGTATATCCGGGAGAATTCGCGAAGTTTTTCGTTTTTGAAAAATAATGTATTTGGACTTTTTTAAAGAAATTGACATACCATGTAATTACATCCAATCCTAAAGATTCCGCAAAGACCCATTTAAAGACTGGATCATATTAACCAAATTCTTGCCTGACGTCAGCAATGTTATATCATCAGCATAACCACATAAATTTACTCCATCTGCAGTCACAGAATGTATATCATTGATGTAAATATTAAACAACAGAGGACTCAGAGTCGATCCTTGTGGAAGACCTTTGTTAACAAAACCAGATGCAGACAGTTTACCGCTTGCTCTGTGTCGAATAACCACTGTTCTAGAGATGTAAAATTGTTTAATGATGTCAATAATGTCTTGGGGGAGATTTAGTGTTACCAATTTTTGCAAAAGGATTCCAATATCGATATTGTCATGAGCTCCGGTTATATCTATAAAAACAGCTACAACAGACTCATTTTTACAAAAAGAATTATAAATTTTATTTTGTAGAAAAATCAAATTTTCCATAATTCCTTCTTTTCCTTTTCTAAAACCGGTTTGTAGTGAATTAAAAAAATTATTTGATTCTAAAAAGTGTTCTATTTTATTTTTAATTAGTTTCTAGAATTTTTGCGCAACATGAAGATAAAATGCTATAAAGCGATAATTAGCCGTATTATTTGAGTCTCTACCTGGCTGTGGAATGGGACAAATGATCTGAGAGGACCATTCCTGAGGAAGGGGTGTTCCGGATAAAAACTGATTAAAAACATAAACCAAACTATTATTTTTAAAATTTTAGATGACAATTCTGTCAAACTAATTGTCAGTATATTTTTTAGTTATTGGAGATTAAATTAAAATGAGTCATTTTTGTGTAGAATCCATAAATAGAAGCATTTTTATTTGGTCCACATTAAAAAAAAAATTAAATAAATTTTAATTAAACTATATAAAATTTATTTAAATACGACTATTAAAACTACATTCCTAAAAGTGGCGGTGAAGGCGACGACCGTCTATCTTCTACGTCAAAATCCGTGGTTCGAATCTGGGCTGTGGACTAATTAAGTTAAATCTTTTTTATTTTATTTTATAAATTAGAAAATATTGCAAGCACAAGTACGCGTAAACGATCTAGTGGATCTAAAGCACTATCTTTGGAAGAAAAAAATATCGTACAAAATGTGTTTAATAAACTTCGAAGACTTTGTTTCACTTACTGTGAATGAAATAGCCACTAAATGTTGAGATCTATACTGGAGTATCAAAGCGGACAGTATTTACCACCATTAAAGAAGATAACAGTTATTGGAGAAGTCTCACATCTGAAAAATCACCCAGGAAGAAACATGATCTTTATTGAAACTTGGTAAAGAATGTAATAAGGCAAAATGGTACATTCTTTTTCCTTTCGAAATGAAATTGCTATACATAAAAAATTACATTCAGAAATAGAAAATATCTTCCAAATATATATTTTCTTCGGCATAAAATATTACTTGAATTAAATTTTCGTTACAAAAACGTGACAGAAACAGCTTTTTAGCGGAGAAAGACGAAACATTGCGTGGAGACATGATTATTTAAAGAAAATAGCGGACGCAAGGAATCAGCATAAACAGGTGTTTTATTTAGATGAAATATAGGGTAATGCTGGACATGCAGTAACAAAAATTTGACAAGATACCTCCATCAAAGTTAAAAAACGAGCCTTTATGGAAGGGGTCTCTTGTGGATTCAAAAACCTAACAGGAAAAGGAAATCGTTTAATAATAACCCACATTGGGAGCATCAATGAATTTTTGCCAGATGCTTTATTTTTCGAGTCAAATAAAACAAAAGACTACCATGAAAAAATGGATGGTCCTATGTTTAAAAATTGGTTTCAGAACATTATAAAAAAAATCCAGCCAATTCCGTTATCGTTTTGGATAACGCATCCTATCACAGTCGATTAAAGGAGTCACTACCAACAACAAGATGGAAAAAAGAAGATATTCAAAATGGCTTCATTCTAAAAATATTATCGGTTCTCCTAAATTCTTGAGAGCAGAATTACTCCTATTAGCAAGGCAACATAAAAACAAATTCATAAAATATATTATAGACGAGATGGCCCGAGAAAAATGAATGGAAATTCTCAGATTGCCTCCTTACCACGCAGAGTTAAATCCCATTGAACTGATCTGGTCACAACTAAAATGTTATGTTTCTCGAAATAAAACAACATTTAAATTATCTAAGGTGCGAAATTTGTTTTTGAGGGCAGTTTTAGATGTAAATGGTGAACATTGGAGAAAATACATTAATCATGTTAAAAAGGTGAGAAATTCATTTTGCAAAGTGGATATAGCAATGGAAAACTTAATAGATCATATAATAGTAAACCTCAGAAAACACAATGATAATGATACGAATAGTCATAGTTAAAGATAGTTCTTGAACTTTTTATTTTTTTTAATCTTTGATTTTAGGTACTGAAGTGTTACTTTTAATGCCAAGATATTAACAAAAGTTTATGATACACTGCAATGTTATACCGTGGTAACCAACCTCTGTTTATGGTTGTTATGGCTAGTTACATAGGTAAAAATGTTAACAACAGTAGACCGTCAGATAATGACAGATTTAGGTGCCCCTTTTTCGCATATAAGCCTCGAAGAGGGTTGAAAAGTACATCGATTTTATGTAGAATGAAAGGAAATTTACGAGAGGCTCTTGGGGTTAACACATGGAAAATTTGATTTTCCCATATTTCCACGCAAGCCGTTTTCACTATATGATTAATTAATAGAACTAGGCTTCGAAAAACCAAAGGCTTTAATGTTGCAAGTGGCTAAAGGGTTGAAATAAGGGCGTGATCTTCTAAGGAAAAATCGAGATTTGGTCACAAGCCCATCGAATGTATGAAAACTTACAGCGTGCATTTTGGGGTCGGAAAATTTTTTTTATATGGAAAATCTAATTTTCCATGTGTTATCCCCAAGAACCACTCGTAAATTTTCTTTTATGTATATCGATGTACTTTTCAACCCTCTTCAAGGCTTGTATGCGATAATGGAGCACCTATATCGGTCACTATCTGACGGTCTATTATGTCTGAATTGTCATTTGTAACTGAACTGTTTTAAGTGACCTTTGGAAACTTGTAATGATGGTGTCAAACGATAAAATTTTGTTTAATCTTAGGTTGTAAAACGCAGTATATCATAAAACGATACACGCTTGTTACCTGATCTCTACGTGCTCTTACGTCATATAACGTGCTACTAACGCTTGCACATTAACGACCTTGCTCGCATGTAAAGATCTAGGTAACGGGCTTATAACGTAAACTACTATTAATCCCATTAACAACATATAATGCTCCTAGTTATTTATTGGTTAAATTTAATTCGTTCAATGTTAAAGTGCAACAATTGTCAGAAGTATAAGGTTTATTATATTTTTTGTAAATAATATAACTTTTTTCAATCATAATTTAATCTACAAAGTGCGTATATACCATTTTATATGCCGTGACCTTGCTTATATTATGGAAACTTATTTTACAAAGTATGCCTATGGAATGTGACATTATATCCCCTCTTTTACTGCACCCCTCTTTTATTCAGACTATGCTATTATACTCTTCACACATTAGTCTGTGGTATTATAGGTTTACTTTCCAGAAACCAAAATTTTTAATATTGATCCCAATTTAAAAATGTGTATACTAAAATCCTTATTATTAAATTTAAACAAATTTCGATATTAACTTAAAAATGGGGGGGTTAAAATATTACAAAAAAAACTTGAAATATGATATCAATCTGAAATATTTACCAAAAATCAAGCTCTATAAGGGGAAGAAGCCCTTACATTTTAAAAAAAAAAAAATCTGATTAAAAATTGGGGTTAACATAGGTTGAAATCAAAACAAAAAAATATTTCCAAAACAAAAAGCGATATTAAATAAAATTTATACTGAAAATCAAGCTCTATACGGGAATAAAGTCTTTTTATTCTGAAAAAATCTGAATAAAAATGGGGTGTTTCTTGCTGAAGATTCCTAATAAGGACGAAATCGGTACAAAGAATGACGTTTTCCTTAGTAATCAAAATCAAAGGTAGAATCTTAAAATTAAATTTCTTCTCTGGTGTCTTTCCTTTGGATACAATTCACTACCTGGTGCCGTATTAGCCAAAAGAGTAGTTCCTTTCCGAAGGGAAACGGTCGATTGTATTTTGTTTGAAATATGACTTTGTGTTTTATTTATTTTATTGTTGTCTTGATCACTTAAGTTAGAATTATTTTCTTTTATTTTTTCTTGTTTTTCTCGAACACAGAATGAAACATGAAAAAACTAAAACCCGGATTAATATTTGAAAACCAGTTTTCCGTGTAAGTACAAAAAAAAATCGATTCACTTATTTTATACCTACCCCAAGAGTCATGGTTTTTCACTATATATCTTATATCTTACATCTCACTTTTCCGATTTTCATTTTGACCAAATATATTCTATTAAAGAAAATAATTTCAACAAAAAAAATACGCTACATTTAGCCTACTTTATATTATATGAAATAAGAAGGCAAGCAATAAACTCAAATCTTTAACATAAAAAAGTGTACAGATAACATTTCAATATAATTTCAACGTAATTAATTCTTAAACGAGTTTTTTTTTAAATATATACACTTCGGTGTAACTTTGGACAATTAAAACCAATTATTCTTCTTCGCGGACAAAAGTAGGACTACCACTGAATTCTTGTAAACAGTTTATCTTCATTCGCCACTGTAGAACCATCTCCACCAGCATACTTTCATCCTGTCCCACACATTGTCAACGCTGCATAAATAAAAAGTATGTTAAAAAGTTGCATTGTTTTGGATTTATTTATAAAGGGATGTAAAAAGTTAATAGTCAGGTAAATGAATTGTTAAATTACAGGAGCTTATAGATAATTTAGGAAAAAATAGGTGGGCAATATCTAGCTTCTTTTTAATTAAATCGTCAGAACTTGATAGGATCTATCCAGCCCTACTTCAATGGGTCACGATACACTCATACCGCACCTTATTGATATATTCAGATCCTCTTTGGCTCTGACATATCCCCCAAAATATAGAAAAGAAGATAAACTTTGTTTACATATTCAAACATGGATGGATTACACTGCTCAAAAACATACCAGCCAAATGCTATGCAAAAGGTACACTTCGCGTCATATGAAACTGGTACACTTATTTTTCCCAATGTAAAACCAACTTTACTTTTGAAAATGACAAACAGTAAGATTTGTCAAGTTTGTCAAAGCGCATTGTAACGATGTCAGTCATTTGAGTAAGTTTGATAAAATGCGAAAACCAGGATTAACAACTTTGCAAAAATGGGACAACAATCAAATTGTAAATAGAAAAAGATAAGACTGGGAGACCAGTTATAACTATAGCACAACAAGATGAAACATTTACTAATTATTTATGGCAAGATAAGCAAAAGTTGAATCAAACTTTAATGCTTCAGTTACAAAAGGATTAGGAATAATTAGACAAACTGATTTAAAGAATTTTGCAGCCGAGCCGCCCTGAAAATACATATTAGCAAAGTAAATATGCTAATTAGCATTATCTTCACCTTAAATTTTAATATGTTTCCAATGATTCAGTAAAGCTTGGCAGAAGATGAAAAGTTAACAATAAATTTAATCAAGTCAGTGCTTAGAATATTATAAGAAATTATTAATAATGGAGCTATATATTAATTATTTATTTTATCTGTTTCAAATTATTGTCAAATGTATTTAAATTTCAAACTTATTCATTTTAGATTGCATTAAATTTTTCCATTGCGTTTTATTGCTTTACCAAATTTATTTGTATCATTGCATCTACTAACATTTTGGTTGTACTGGCAACGTTGTTCTAAAAATTATAACCTAAAAAGTAGTTTAACTTTGACACATTTTAAAAGATCAATTTACACAGCTTGAAAAACACGATTTTTTGTTATAAGAGTTGTACCACTTTTATATGACGCGAAGTGTACCTAAGGGATGTAGTAATTACTCAAACAGCACTACATCCCAATAAATATAGATATACTGATTCATCCAAGCTGTTGACCAGATAGAGAAATCTATGGGCAATGAATTCTCCTTGGGTGTTTTTATAGACACTGCGCTTTTGACAAGACCACCTTCCTCAAGATAATACACTTAGTTACCAACAGAAATATTCCACTGCTTGTTGGTGGATGGTTGTGAAAGGATACCCACAAGTGTTGTTACTTCTATTGTGGGTCATGGGGCCCTATTCTCAAATGTCTATTTCTGAATGTCACATGCAACATTGATGAAATGTCGAACAAGAATGCAGAAGCGAATTCTGGAATGGCGAATTCGACATTTGCAGTTAGACATAAAGTCGAGTGGTATTCAACCAGTCGACATTTTATTGTTACATACCTTTTTAAAGATAATGTTACAATATGAGTGTTGTGACAGTGACAATTTATGTTTAATTTTAAGAGAAATAAAAATAAGTATTCTATAAATTGTTTTTAAAAATATATGATTTGATTATTTACAATTTCATCTAAGTTATCAATCATTAGTCCTGTTTGGCAAAGAGATTTAGTCCCGGTCATTAAGAAATTTATATAGCTCTATTTTTCAAATTGTAGGGAAAAAGATTATATCATTTCTTCTTATTTCTGTTTAATCTCTTACCAAATTTCACTTCCAATTTTCTATTTAATCCCTTATGAAATTTCAGTTAAAAAGATTATATTATATTTTCTCTACTTTCTAATTAGTATTTATCAAAAAGATATATATTCTGGATATATTTTCAGGATTATTTTGTATTCCTAAAAGATCCTTCAAGTAATTGTGTGCTGTAATATACTCGTCTTGTATGTTTCTATCCCATGTTGTCAGATGTTATCATTCGCCAAATATGTCACCAATTTTAAAATGTCGATGTGTCTTTGGAAATACGGATAGTGTCAGTCGATCGACATTTTAATAGACATTAGTAGTAGAAATTATGATGAATGCGACATTTTTAATAGATATTCGAGAATAGGGCCCATGGTCCTTGACACCCTCATCAGCTGTCTCAACAATGACGGTCTCTACACAATACCACATTATAGAAATGTCATTCTGTAAGTAAGAAAATATGAGAATGTATTCTGTGAAAGAATGCAAGTAACTGTCAAAATTATACAACAGTGGTGCAGATACCATTCACTATCTATCACTCTCCAGAAGATAATCACAAGAAAGAAAATGGTACTGGAACTAAAAACAAAATTTAACTTTGGAACAGAGGTAAAGTACCTAGGTCTCACTTTTGAAAACAAGTTAACCTGAACTCACACCTAGCAAACTATAAAAAAGCATATATCTTGTGAACAATGCTGTCAAACCGTGGGACACACCTGTTGTCTCTTCCCTAATTGTTTCATGGACCTATGTGTCCATCATAATATTCATACAAGCAGTTGTCTGAGTACCGAAAATCCAGCAATTAACAATTATTCACAAACTAGAATAATTTAGTCTCACTCTCCATAATATTTACATCAGGGATGTTGCTTTAAGGACTCTATCTCACTTCAAGGTACTTTTTATAAGCATTATAAAGTTATCCCGAAAAAGATAGAAGAGTCAAAAGTAGCAGATATGATTTACACCTACACTGGCAGTTCTAAGACAAAACAAGGCTCAGGATGAAGAATATACTCCATACCCTTAAGCATAAACATAAATTGGACTGTGTGCAATAGTACCAGTGCAGTTTAAACTGAATTCACAGATATTCCCACAACAGCAAAATAAATAATCACTAGAAGGAACATGTTCATCTATACAGATAGCAGACAAGCACTACTTGTCCTGGATTACAAAAAGGGAGGGTTTCCCACCTTTTTTCTAAAATGTCTCTGTAGAGTGTTGCCTTATTGTTGCACAAATTTAAAGCTCTCAATATTCTCGAGACAAATAACATCGTGAAGTGTTTTCAGTGACGGATACATAAATTCAATTTTATACTAGAAAATCATCACAACATTTTTGCTTTAGCTCTTAACATAATGGTAAAGGTATACTAACAAAAAAAAAATTTCATATTCTGTAAATGTCAAACACTAATTAACACATTGTATTTGCTATTAAGTTCTGTGTTAAAATTTCGATGGATTTCATGATTCTACGTCATTTTGGCAAATTTTCGCTTTGATATTAGTAATAAGTTATGATATTTATAATATTTTGCTTCTTCTAATTATTGATCTTTTAAAAAATCTTTTGAGACACACAATACTTGATAAAATTCAGGTAAGTTCTATGATTTTGTAATAAATAATAGTAGTGTCTTATAATTTTTTTTTAAATGAATCGCATTCGCGAGAGTTCATTCATCTAAAAGTATGTATAAGAAAATGGTCATGGTCATTTCTATTATATTTCCATTACAAACAGTACATCAGTCATCACTCCCTTATGAGTTAATTTTAACCACAAAAGCCGACTGAGCTTGTGCGGGGAAGGGGCGGCTATTATTATTTGCCGTTGCGCTCCGGGGTGATTTAGAAATGATTGTTGGTGCCATTTGACTTACAGGTGAGGAAAACCCGGAAAACTGCTAGTAAGATACCCATCAAATCCTACAACGAATTAGGAAATGTATTTAAAAATGCACATTGTTTGGTCTAGGACCTAGAGCAACACGTCACTGAACAACTAAAAGGCCCGTAAATGAATACCGGCTTACAGACCACTCAAACTATTGCGCTACTGAGACTGTTATCTAATAATATGTCAGACGGTGTTAATGTTATTGTAACTATCAACGATAATTAACAGACTATAGTAATTAAAGAAACTTTCAGTTGCAATATTTTTCATAACAATAGGCTATTACAAGGTGAATGGATCAGTGGTAGAGTCTCTGCCTGTGGATCCAAGGGTCCCAGGTTCGAATCCCACCGTTGGCAGGAATTTTTTTATTTAATTTATTTAAAATTAATTCTGATATCTTGGTAGGATTCCCCACTCGACCATTTACTGTTGGGTTCTAATTAACAGTGCTGTTCCTAAAGTGGCGCTGGGAAACAGTAACAAAGCCTACACAAAACACGATGCTAATGACCTTAGCAGTCGATGCCGATGACACCCAATTAAAAAAAAAGATAGGCTATCTATTACTATAACAGACTATTAAATTCTAAAAAGATCCTTACAGCAGAACATCATTGCTTTGATGAAAGGGTCTGAAAGTCACATAGTTAAAAAAAATGTATTGAGCAAATTCAGATAGAAGGAGAGCACTCCACTAGAAAAACGATAGGGTTGCATATTGAGGGAAGAAGAAAGACATGCTGACTAAGTAAAATTTGGTGATACTGTTAATATTGATATGAGGGTAAAAAGAAAAAAATCATGCACAACACGGCAAAATGAAAAAGAAAAGTGCATATGGCCGACACGGCTTAAGGAAAAGATGATTAATATTCTTATTTTAATAAAATACTTCTCTTACCTATCCATTGCCGGTCTGACATCTAGTAAAGCAAATCTATATTTATCATCACAGTTCCCACCATCATAGTAGTCTATAATATATCTGACGTCTTTTCCACACCTATCAACTATCCAGTCATGCCTGTCAAACGGAAGCTCATAACCCATTACCTGCCTGATTCTCGCTCTAGGACTGTAATCTTGGGCTTTTCCACCAAAACTCTTGAGCCTGAAAATATTCAACAATAAATTGAAAATAATAAAGGTAACAAAAGTGATGATTCTTACTAATATATGAATACATGTACATATTTAAATCGACTATAACAGTAAAATTTTTTTATTATTTAATTTTAAACTTTACCACTTATAAGGTACTTTAGCAAAATTTTGCCGTTCAGATATCACCGGAGGCCAAAGAAATAATTGTTAAAGTTGAAGACCTAACCTATGGACACGAATTTATTCACCTTTATTTTGATTAAAATTTTGGTAGGAACTATTTAATATTTTAATATTCTATTTCTTCTTTTTATTTCAATAATAAATATACATTTTTTGTTCAAAGCATTGTTTAAGTCTCTTTATATTAATTTAATTTATATTAGGTACTTAATGACAATTTGTAAAAATGAAAGGGTTTTCAGTTGCGTTTTATAATTCACGTTCGTTAACTAAACATTTTACAGATTTCAAAGTTCATATTATGAGAGAAAAATATACTGTTGTTGGTGTTTGTAAGACTTGGCTTACAAAGAGAATATCTGATAATATGATATTTATTCCTTGTTATAGTAAGACTCGACAGAGATGTTCAAATAGGTGGTGGTGTATGCATATACATAAGATCTGATTTAAAACATGAACTAAAGAATATAAAAACGAACGATAACGTTGAACAAATATGGGTAAGACTATATATTAATAAACTTACATTTGCTATTGGTACGTATTATCGACCACCTCAAAAAAATTTATTAGAAAGTTTAAATAATATCGAAGAAAACATTTCAGATTTAATTACTTCTCACTCTGGGATAATTATTGGCGGAGATATAAATATTAATCTTTTAGATATCACATCTAACAAAGTTATAAAATTGTTTGATACTAGACAATTATTTAACTTTAAGCAAATTATTGATAAACCAACTCGTGTCACAAAAAAACACAGAAACTTTAATAGATGTTATTATAATTCCTGAAGATCAAGAAGTAAGTTCTTACGGCAATGTTGAATTTCATGACACTGATCATCAGCTAGTTTTTGTCAATTAAATCTATCTTTACCTGAAGTGAAGAGTAAATTCATAGTAACTAGGAATCTAAAGAGTATAGATCAACAATTATTACTTAACTGCCTACAAACAAGTAATTTTGAAAATATTTTTAATTCAATTGATGTAAATGATATGGTTATGTATTTTACAAACAAGTTGCTAAGAGTATTTGATGCATTATCACAACTTAAAAAGATTAAAATAAAACAACCAATGCCACCGTAGCTCACTAACAATATTAAACTTATGATGAAATTGCGGGACAAAGATTTAAAAAAATTTAAGAGAACAAAATTCCCTCATCATTGGGACTACTAAAAAGGTCTAAGAAATTTTACTACAAACGCAATTAGCAATGAAAAAAAGCCTATTTGCAATATCTTACAAATAATAATAAAAATAAGAGAAACCTGTGGACCAAACTGAATCTTAATATTTATAAGAAAAATCTAAAGAAAACGTAATTCCTGATAATTTAAATGATTCTAATACGATTAATGAGCATTTTTTATTACCTGGAGTTGTGAACTCAGAATTAGCTTATTTAAAAAGTCTACAAACGTCAAATAAGATAGAACAAAAATACAAACAACAAGTAATTTACGCATTACAAGAAGAAAACGCAAATTATTTAATAATATTTGGCACCTTTGTAGCAATGTGTAGTTATTCTATAAGGTAAATTAAGGCGGGAAATTTCATCCAAAATGGTTTTTGAATCCCAATGGGCCCGTTCACTTTCATTTTTGAATGTGAATTAATTATATATTTATAAAGATATTAAACTCTTTTGTCTGGTGGTACTTTTCCCGTTAAGATATTTTTGCTAGAAGTAAGGGAATTCCCATAAAATTCTTTCAGTGACTCATTGCGTCAGAAAACCCCTAATTCCCTTCAAGTCTCGTATCGGTTAATAGTTAAAAGGGCGCGGTTGTCGGATGTATCATTGCACCACCATTCCTCTTCTGCACTTATTAAAGAAATTTACATTATAAAAATATATTATTTTTTTAAAATAATGTGTTTATATTTTCAGATAAAGCTGGAAACCTTACCTTTTTTAAATTTTAATAAAAACAATTAGTTTTACTCAAGCTGAATATTACCAAATCGAAATTTTATTTGAGAAAATGTATCTGGTAAACGTGACAACGTTGAAAGTACTTCTAAATAGTGTTGTCTACACACACTTCTAGAAATAAATGCAACGTTGCCACGTTTACCAGATAAATATTGCAAATCAAATTTCTACTTTTTGATTATGGTTGGTTAATTTTCAGCCTGAGTAATAATAATTGTTTTAATTAAAAAAAAAAAATAAGCTCCCAGCTTTAAATCTGAAAATATAACATGACGATTTTTAGAAAAATAATGGAATTTTACTACTTAAATTACATATATAAATGCAGAAATGGTATATTAGGGATACTTCCGACAACCCCGCCGTCTTTAAGCATAACCGATACGAGACGTGAACGGAATTAGGGATTTTCTGACGCAATGAGTCACTGAAAGAATTTTATGGGAATTCCCTTACTTCTAGCAAACATATCTTAACGGGAAAAGTACCACCAGACAAAAGAGTTTAATATCTTTATAAATATATAATTAATTCACATTCAAAAATGAAAGTGAACGGGCCCATTGTCTTCTAAATACTTAATTAAAAGGATAAATTAATGTTTTCTTGTTGAAATTAACACCATTATTGTTTCGAAGTAAATAAGATTGAAAATTCCGATGCGTTGTTATAGTCGATTGGTACAAAATATATTTTTTCAAATACCTGTTAAAAAGAGCTTTATTGCCGAATTTTAACCAATAAAAGATTGGTATCTATTTGAGATATGAGACAAAGCCTTTGAAAGTTAAAAGATGTAAGCCAAACATAACCACACAAAATTAATAAAACTAAAATCTTTTTATAATATTTTTAACCGACTTCAAACAAGGAGGAGGTCCTCAATTCGTCGAAATATTTTTTTTATGTATGTTCAGCGATAATTCTTTAACATGGTGTCCGCTTTCAATGATTCTTTTTTGCTAGAAAGGGGGTATATCAGGGGTGGTCCCATATTAATTTGGTCAAAATCTAATAATTGGATCAATTAGAAAATGCTCAAACTCTTCATTTTTAATGTATGTTTAGCGATAATTATTTACCACTTTATCCGATTTCTATGATTCTTCTTTTGTACCTCAGGGGTGGTCCCATATAAATTTGGTTAAGATGTGGTGACGGCATCTGCACGATTATGAAGTCGGTTTTTTAAAATTACTTTTAATACTTGTTAGCATTGACAACCCGGGTTAGACCAAACATATTGTCAATAAACTAAAAATATTTAATAATGAAACAGAGAGGAAGGGATATACTAGGCTTTTAAGGAATGAACCATACAGAGGTCCTAAAAAACCCAAGTACATTTGGTTTTGGGAAATTATTGTACATCGGAATTTGAAGAGTAGAATAAAGGGCAATGACTCTAGATCTATACTAGGCCAGATAACTTGAAGTAAATAGATGTGAGTAGACCATGACGCATACATGGCAGCTAGTCGAAGAAAAGAAGAGTAAATTAGAAAGGAAGGAGGAAAGAAAGAGTTAAATAAAAGTGGCGCAAAGTTATATTAAAGACAAATTACTACCTACTCATACTAGTCAGCAACAAAATAAAGACACTTATTTCGCTTGAAAGCGCTCAGCCTAATTATTAATAAAAAAATTCAATTTTTTACACACTAAAGTACTTATATTTCACTAGTAATGTGTACACCACTTCCAGTCTACTTACATATAAATATTTGTTTATTTTATAATAGTAATATAATTTCCTTTATAGTTTAAAAAAAAATAATAATACATATGGTAATAAGGTACAGATGTAATGGCCAGGTAAGAGATATTTAAAAAGATTATTGTTGGAATCATTTTGCATGAAAAAGACACAATAGACATATTTGGAAGTATTTTTTAAACATAAAAATTTGTTTATTTTAAAGTTATATAATTTCCTTCGATCTAAAAAAATAATAAATACAATAACCTGTTCTGTAACAGACTGAATGGTCAGGCAGGCATGTGTAGATTAGTTTCCTTTCGCCAATTTGACATTTGCATAATTTTAAAGTTTTCATTCTAATTTTCGTGTCTTAAACTATTAAATGGAATAGGATCTGTTTAATTTAGAAATGTTTAGGTATTCAAAAATTATGTTTTATTTACAAAAGTTGAGTGTGAGTTAGTTTTATGTGTATTAATATGATTTAAGATACACATACGAAGAAGTTAGTTTATATTATAAATATTACCGATCTTACTTTGGGCATTAACATAGATTTGAGGAACATTTCAGTTTAATCAAAGTTGTGTGAGTTTGAGAAGTTCCCATTAGAAGGAAGGTTATATTATGTTTAGTTGTCACTTCAAAAGGTAAACATTGTTTCTTCAAAAAACGAAAACAGAAACTTTTCAATCAGCATAAAACTTAATGATTGATTAAGATCACAAGCTCTTATTGGCTGAAATCACAAAATTTGATTACTTTGACAGATGAAAAAAATAATCAGTATAAAATTCAATGATTGTTTAGGATAGCGAGTTCTTATTGGGTGAAATCACAAAATTTTACTATTTTGACAAATGAAAAAAAAAAATCAAGGATAAAAAAAATAATAGAAAAGGATAAACAGTCTCCTGTAGTAGTCAATAAAACTAAAACATAAAAATAACAACTAAACGTTCCATTTCATTTTTGACATTAACAAAATATTTTGGCAACTTCTTGACATTAAGAATACACCTTAGTTTAGGGCCAATCTTTTCACCTCTGAGTAAAGTTTCATATAGATTTACTTGACAGATTAACAAATAATCGCCCTATAGTTTAAAAGTAGTTACTTTCAACTTTACTCAGAAGTGAAAAGACTAGCCCTTAGAAACTAAAAGTTACTAAAAATAATTAAAACTTTCATAGAGCTATTTAACACTATAGCACTTTTGTGTACCTATTATAATTCAATAGGAATTTATTATTAAATTTAAAAATCAGTGAAGTTATAAAAAAAATACAAAAAGAAAACTTATTACCATTATAAAAATGATTGGCCAGCTTTTGATCAAAATATAATAATTGAGCTTAGTCATTTTTCAGGTAGTGAGATCTTCAATATTGAAAATAATAACAATCAATGGTCAACAAACTTTAGTCTATAGCAGACAGGGTAAAATGAAATCATTTTCTGACTAAATTTTCAGAAGAGACATTCAATGATATATTTGGCAATTGCATTCTAAAAATGAGTACTTTACAATGGAGGAAATAATAACTTACGCTAAGGAAAATTTATAATTTAAGAGAGGTCGAACAATTTTATATAAAACTATTAATTCTATTGGATGTAAATATAAAACAGTGGATGAACGAAAAATATTCTATGAACAAGAACAGCAAAAATTCAATTTGTATGTAATTTTTTACAAACACAAAAACAAAATGTAACATTCGTGTACTTTGATGACATTTAGATCTATCAGAAGGGATCTCAGCTTCTTCAATGGGTACATTCAGATTCAAATGGTAAATAATACATCAAAAATAAATTTCACCAGTTCCATCATTTAAAAAAAGGACAATTTGACGACACTGCTTTAAATGATAAAAATGACATGTCAATATTAAAATGATATTAATATTATGCACAGTAAAATGTGTCAAATATCATAGCCACCCTGGATTAAAAGTGACTGAAAGCATAATATAGAATGTATTTGTTTGGCATTCTTAATTTGTTAAACTGTAATTCTTAAACAATATAAAGCACTTGAAACATAATTACTACAGACTTATTAGGAAAAGTTACTTTACCTGGGATCTCGACACTCATTTGCATGCAAGGCTTCCCATTTAAGCACCTCTTGCCATGCTTGTTCATTGTTAGCATTGTGAATTTTGATTATATTATTCATATCTTCTTGTTTGATGTCTTCATCTCGCCACCTCCAACCTTTTCTTAACATAGCATTCCAAAACATCTATGAAGAATAAAGTATACAATTAAATGAAGAAGAAAAATTCAAGGTCCCTGTCAAAGAAAACTGTCAAGCCGCTTCTCTCAATAAAAAAACTACTCTGGTGATAAACCTTGACTGGTATTGCATTATAACTGGAGAAAAATAATCCACTTGAATTGTACAGTATATTTTTTTACGACCCACTAACAACATTCTACAAATTTAAAAAATTTATTTAGGCCATTAAGGTAGTTCACTGATAAAACGGCTTTTCCTAAGAATTCAATAAAATTGAAATATAAGGTTAATGAAAGTATCTTTTACGTAACTAAAACAAATTAAATTTTTTTATCATCTGTGAAACAAGATATTAACAATGAAAATGTGCATAAAAATTATTACAACTTGGCAACATTGTAAACGCTACACGCTAATTTGACCACTGCGTATTTGAGAATTGGAATCAGTGGTTTTGTTTGAACCAAAATAAACCCTTAAAATTAGTATGAGGAAGTCACAAATTTCTATAGCCCACCATTCATATATTTGCGACGTTGCCGAATGGATTTTATTTGAAATTAACAAAGTATTTATTTTTAATACTCATAATTAAATTGATTTTAGGTACATGGTTTTACTAAAATTTATTATTTTTTTTGTAAATACAGTTTGACAGAATTGTCACCTATTTAAAATTTTAGTTTAGATGAAAGCAATGGCATACTTTTTTGTTTTATAGTCTGTGCATAAAATAGCTAAGTAATATCCATTGGGCATAGAAAAAACATAATTTTGATTTTTTTCTAAGGATGTCATTCTTGGACGGGTTTCGACCTTAATATAAACTTACACTTTTTCTTCCAATCTTTAGATTGTAAGGTTCCCTTGTATACCCTGATACTGATACTGAAAGTAGTGCCTTAATAAGCAAAATCCGTGCTCATTGTATAGTACCCAGTTCAAGAACTAAGTGGTATATAAGTATATTGAGTATTAATTTAAAATAAATACTTTTTAAAAATTAAATATAATGACAAGTTTTTGACATTAAGTAAGTTGGACAATTACAGAGTTTTGGCTTATGTAATAAAAAAATCTTGGTCACTTTGGTAGTTAATTAAATACTAAATAGGTAGAAATATCAATTAAAGCATAAAATAACATACCTGTGCGCTGGGGTATACCCAAAAAGAACCTTCTCCTTCTTTAATTATGGCCTTAGGAATTGTGGATACTTGCCTATCTGTAGAGAGTGGGAAAGGCTGACCAGGTGCAGGCTTTTGATTAGCTGGGCCCATCTGTTTAAAAATAATTTTAAATAAACACCTATATTACCATTGACAATAATTATTAAGTAGATAAGTATATGATTTACAGGGTGTCTAGAAATTGCGGGTACATGGAGCTACTACAGATTTATGGGCTCAAAATATGTTGATTTTACCAAACTTACCCGTACACCAACTTGATTGGTTGCTAGAGCTAAACAAAGTTATATACAAATATCTGTTTTTTCTTTAAGAATTCAAACATTTTAAAAGATTAAACTTGGTGTTTTATATTGATACCATTTTGTATCGTACTAAGTAGGGACGTTAAGCATGGCGATATGAAATGTTCAAATCCATTTTTGTTTCTCGAAAAGGTTACATCATGGCGACGTGAAGGATAAAAAAATACGAAAAATGTCTGTTGTTCTTCCCTTAATGAGATGTTTATGATCGCAATAGAAAAAGTGTTCCTGCTGTTTTTAATTGGCTATAAAATACCTAGTATTTTAATTTTGATGTTTTAAAATGACTGGATTCTGGAGAAAAAAGAAAAAACATTTTTATTTAATGTTGTTGACCTCTAGCAGCCAAATTAAATAGACATTGGTCTTGAAAAATTACTGTGACTCGGAAACTTCTAGAATTATTTACTTAATGTAAGTAAAAATATAAGGATGCAAATATCAAAAATAAAAGAAACACGATCTTATATGAAATGCAAAGAAGTTACCAATTTTCTAGCAAAAAGTAAAACTTAAAATATATATTATCTATTTGATTAAATCTTTACCATATTCAATGGATTTATTTCTTCTTCGCCTCCTCCCACAGGGCAACCAGAATCCTTCATTGTACTTGTAGACTTCTTCTGGTGCATTGGACATTCTTCAGGAATTTCACCTTTAAAGTCTTTAAATTTATGTTTGTGTTTTTGTATAGAATCATCTGGATTTATGAACTGAGTTGCAGTCTTCTGAGCTATTTCAGCAGCGGACACTGTGTTACCCATTTCTACAAAAAATTAAAAGTATAAGAAGACACATGATTTAATTTAATGGGGTAAAGTGAGGTTAATATTATACAACAATTATATAATATTTCATGGTAAAATTGTAATCATATAGAGAATATTCTGTAAAATCTTTATACATACTTTGGTAGTATTTGTGTAAAAACTAATTAATTGTAGTTGATTTGATTTTAAAATATATTTTCCATTTCAAAAATTGATTTTTAAGGAATGACAGTTGTCATTTTGTGACTTGTGACATAAGACTTCTTCTTTTTTTCAGATAAAGAAGGGTCATCTTTATCAGTTTGCAGTAACAATCAATAATGTATTTTGTGTTGCATAACAGAAGGTAGTCTATAAATGTAAAAAGTAAAAATATTTCCAAATTTTCTGGATATTTCTACAAAAATAAAAGATAAGTAAAAACATTGTCTGAATAAGTCAAAAAAGGTAAATTTTGTTACAAAAATACATTTCAATTTTTTCCTCAACTATCATACGTCATTCCCCTCCTCACCCTTAGGTATTCTAACCCTTGTCAGTATCACGTTGAAACTACATAATATATTAATCCATGGATCCTTAGAAATAAAGATGAGCCGCTTAATTGTATTTGCACATAAGAAAAATAAAAATTCTCTCAATAATCGGTTCCCCAGCCTGGATTGTAATTGGTCAAATTGATATACTTCTACCGTTAGTGGCCTAACGGGCATTGTTCTCCCTCTGTGTAATCAGTAGCATCGCTTATTCTAGACCTAGACCGTTCTTCTGGCGTCATTGTGGGAAACTTAACATACTGTATACAGACATAAAAGCTCTAACCAAACAATTTAATAAATAGGGAAAGTATCAAGTATGACACATCATTAATGAGGTAATTTTATGGGCAATTCAGCAACATATAACTGTTTATCGCGTTATTTTTGATTTTAGCGCTCTATAAAAAAAGAGAAAACGATTGCCTCGAACGGGCGGAATGATATGAGTTTTCCGCACTTCTACTCACTGCGCATAACACATTAGAGCTTCAGCTATTTACAGGGCCGACTAGAGGGGGGCAGCCGGGACTAATTCCCGGGGCCCGGGCTTAAATAGGGGCCCTGCAGCGGTATAAGGGGGGTTCGGCAGCGGTGGTGATAATTTTTTTGTTACTTTCAAAAGTTTGACACAAGAGGCCCAGACAGCACACCAAATCCTTTGGATATCTACTGAACATCCCAATATCCACTGAATGTCCAGTCCATGGTAGATATCTATTTTATATCCATGAAATGTAATTTATAGACATGCAAATGTCCATAAATAATAGTAATTATATAGCAAATTATTAAAAAATTGCGCCATTGTGCTCGCCATTGTGGCTAATAGTACCGTTCAGATATTTAAAATTAATGTTTTTAAGGTGTATTCAATATCCCATGAACATCCACTAAATATATCAAAGTCTAGGCGCGAACGCAAACCATCGTGGATATCCACTAGATGTTATTTGATTCTGCTTACTAAGTATAGATGGCGATACCACTATCGCATCTACTCATGCTCGACCCGCCGTAATTGAGTTCGATCGAAATGTGTGTCCTAATCACTCCATTAGAGACTGGAGTCGAGAATTTTCATTTATTGCTGAAGAGTCCTAATAAGGACGACTTTCTCCTTAGTGGGCAAAATCAAAGGCAGAGTGTTGAAAATATTTTGAGTGTTGAAAATAGTTTTTTTATCTCTGCTATTTTCTTTCGACGTTATTCAATAGTCATTGGTTACTTATGAACCTCTACTAAAGATACCCATAAAATATTTTGCTGAATATCCGGATATCTTCTATATCCTGGGATACAGACGGACATTTGGTTGGATATCAATATTGGATATATTGAATATCCACAAAATATATTCTGTGGATATCTCTGTGATTTCTTGTATTTTCTGGAAGATACCCATTAGATATTTTGCTGAATATCAATTAGGATATTTTCTATATCCTGAATATAGACGGACATTTGGATATCCATATTAGATCCACGGAATATTTCTGATATCCTGTGGATATATTGGATATCCACAAAAGATATTCTGCGGATATCTCTGGGATTTGGTGTGTTGTCTAGGGGGAGGAAGGTCTTGGTTAAAGACCTTTTTTTTAGAGAAATTCAAGTAGAGGAGGAGAAATTTTTGCATGAAGACCTTTTTTTTAGAGAAATTCAAGTAGAGGAGGAGAAATTTTTGCTTGAAGACCTTTTTTTTGTTAGAGAAATTCAAGGAGAGGAGAAGAAATTTTTGCTTGAAGACCTTTTTTTTAGAGAAATTCAGGAGTAGACGATGAGAAATTTTTGTTTGAAGACCTTTTTTTTAAATTTTTTATAAAATTGTCGCGGGTCCCGATCTGAAGAATTGTCCTAGGGTCCGGTCTGGCTCTCGGCGGCCCTGGCTATTTATGTCGATCTGTAAAGGGTGACACCAAATTCGCAAGCTAATTTGTTTTTTTTTAAATTTCTCCTCCAGTAATATTCCTCATTTTCATCTTGTATATATTTAACATGGATCAAAATGCTAATTTCTATGCCTCAACTTTGACTTATATCTGTATTAGGCTTAGGCCACGGTGCTTAGGCTTAGAGTATTAGACATTCCAAACAAAATGGCTGCCCATATGAAATGATAGGCACATGATAGGTTATGATATGGCAACTCTGTGGGCCTGGCACTGAACCTTAGACTAGGTATCTTTACCAAGTCTAAGCACTGAACTGTATAGTAAACTGGAAGAGCAAAGCCGATCAACAAAATCAAGCCACATAGCGAGGTGATATTTGACAGGCTGGCGCTGTTTTGTTATGAAGCCAGATGCCTCATTTCTGGAAGTTGTCATTTGGAGGGCTATTCTACCACTGCAAAGGTAAATGTCTGGCTGGATGGAGCTATTCATTCCGCTCGCTCCACATGGCGATCCTCCAGGTGGATGACAAGTCGCCGAGATGTGTTTCAGAATTAGTCTCATAGCTAGTGGTCACAAGATGGTACTTAAAGTTGCAAAAAATAACGGCTTAAAAACTTTATAATACACATATTTGATTAGATCTTTCACTTGACATGTCTCCATAGCTCAGTTAGTTAAGCATTCAACATGCAGTCAAATGTTATTTCGCGACCGCGGTTCAATACAAGCAATTTTGTTTTTATTTTGGAAAAAATTATGAACATTTTGAAAAAAAAATACGTATTGTTTTTTATATTTTTAAATTCGTATTATAGTTTTTTATTTTTTTAAATACGTTTTATTTATTTTAATAATAATTATTATTGCTTATATTAATACAAATCTGAATATTATGTTTATTACAAATGATCGCATTTCAAATGGACGTTCCCCTATAATGGGGGACGAATTGTCACTACAACACTAAATAATTTGTTTCGGAAACTTTTTCTTTAAAATATAATGTATTTTTAATAGTAAATATAAATAATAAATGTTGTGTATTTGAATATGCGTGACCGAACTGTGCCGAACTAGTTGGGGAAAAGATGAAATATAGAAATATAGAATTGCTTTTATTAAGCCTTCTTGAAATTGGCGACGGAAGCACCCAGACAGCACAAATAGGTCCATTGGACGTTCATTCGATATACAATTTTGGATGTCTGGACGTCCAAAAATGAGTTTTTTTCTGGACTTTCGACATCCAATGGACGTCCAGTAAAGTATACAAATGGCACATTTTTGAGCATTGAGAAGACGTCCAATTCTGAATTATATATAATTGGACGCGTTGAATATTGGACATTGAAAAAACGTCCAATCCTGGATTATATTACATTGAGACCACATCCACACTGATGATTGGGTCATCATTTACGAGGAAAGGTTTGAGCAGTATTTTAAAGCAAACAAAATAGAAGATAATGAAATGAAAGCAATGACATATAGAGATAAATTACAGAGATGGGCAGTCTTTATGTCAGGATAAGACTATAAAATAGAATATGTACAAGGTAAATTAAATTATTTTGCCGATTGCCTGCCTGGAGAATACCACTAAAAGTAACTTCGTTAGAGAAAGATGAAACGTATGTAAATTTTATAGAAAAATACTCGGATTGGCCTGTAGATAATGATAGGATAAAGCAAGAAACGGAAAATATAACATTTTAAAAAGAACAAATATATTACTAATAATAAATGGCAAAAAATATATTACAGAGAAAATAATACCATATTTCAAGAGAAGAGTTAGTTATGTAGAAAAATGATGCATATGGTGGGGAAAACGTGCGGTCATACCTGAAACATTGAGGAAAATCATGCTAGAAGAACTCCATGGTATAGTGAAAACCAAAACAGGAGCTAGATCATATCTGTGGTGACCTCATTGAGATAGGGAAGTAGACAAAATGAGGTAAAATTATGTATAGGATGTTCAAAAATGCTACCAGATCCCTCAAAAATAACCTGATATCGTGGCCAGTAGCTACAAAACCATGGGTCAGGATCCATATACGAATAGATTTTTTAGGCTTAATACGCAATAAAAAATTTCTGTTGTTAACAGATGCATATTTGAAATGGTTAGATGTTTTTGTAGTAAGATCTATTGCAGCTATGGAGACAGAAACGAAACTATGAAATTTTTTTGAAGATTTCGGGTTGCCGGTAGTATAAGATAATCGTTTCAGAACAACTGGAAGGTTTCTTCAAGAAAAATGGCCTATGTCATATCACCACATCACCATTCAACCCAGCATCAAATGGGGCACATTCAAATACAAACTTAAGGCAGCACTTAGATAACCAAAGATAGAGGAGATTAAACTAGAGGTCCTCATTTCAAGATTTTTATTACATTACAGGAATGCTGAACATAATACTACTAAAAGTACATCAGCATACTTGATGTTTGGAAGGAATTAAAAACCAGATTGGATCTGGTAAAAGAAAGCGATGCACAAGATAAAAATAGAGGAAGAGCAGAGGTCTACAAAGAAAAGAGAGAGAGAGAGAGAGAATTGCTAGAAAGTGAGATAGTGTGGGTGAGAAACTATAGAGAAATAAACAATAAAAAAAGGACAGAGGCCATACTAAAACAAAGACTGGGCAGAAGTGGCTATTTATGTCAGATAGAGAACGGCAAGGAATGAAAAAGACATATACACCAAATAAGAACAAGACTAGAGGATAAAGAAAATAATCCACAAAAGATTAGTACCTTTGCAAGTGTCCAGAGGCCATATCAACAGGTAACAGAAAGGTACAGGTACAGGCT